AATGAGAATAGAGAGGACTAGCTAGAGATAGGAAAAAAAAAAAAGAACCTTCTGCTCCGATCGTATGAAGCTAGAGTCAGAGGCTTGAGTGGTTCTCAGTTTTGTCTGGGGCAAGGCGATCCTGTCCGGCCCCAGGGCCAGGCGGACGTGGGGAGCTTCTCAGGAGGGCTAGGCGAGTTTAGAAGCCCGGGGTTTTATGTAACCAGGGCCGAAAGCTTGAGTCCCCAGGGATGCAGTGTCACCTAGTTGGGGACCAGGTCCTGCCGGTTGCGCGCTGGTGAGGTGACAGGAGGGCTGTGCCAGGTGTATGCCTGGGTTTTCTCTTGCTCTGCCAAGAACAGTCCTGGAGCCCCCAGACCAAGATTTCACCTGCAGTGAGCCCTTTCCCAGCTGACTGACCTGGGACGAGTGGCATGATCTCGTCAAGCCTCTATTTTTCTCATCTGTAGAATGGGAACAATGTTGCTGACTCTGCAGTATTGGAAGGGCGCAGAGGGACAAGCATGTGGCAGGACTGGCCCCAGCACTTGGCGCAGAGGACGTGCTCAGTGATGGTGGTGACTTTGGCCACTGGTGGCCAAAGTGTCTTACTTCCTGGGGCCTGAGTGTCCTACATCCTTCTGCAAGTGCTTTGTGTGCAGCTACTATGTGTTGGGTCCAGTGCAATGAACGAGATGTATTCTCTGCCCTCAGGACACTTGTTCTCTCACAGGGGAACCAGGTTACAGACAAGGAAACTGACACCTGTTTAATTGCAAATTGCAATTAGGTCTGTGAAGATAGAGATAAGAGGGCTGGAGAAACAGTGTCTGTGCGTGGGTGCGTGCATGCGTGTGACTTAAGGGAATCAGGGAGGACCTCTTGGCAGTGGCGGCATTGAACCCAAAGCCAGAAGTCTGGGAAGGACACAGCTAATGCAGACAGCTGGGCTGAGAGTGTTCCAGGTGGAGGCAACAGCATATGCAGAGGTCCTGAGGAGGCCCACAGCTAGGTGTGCTCGGGACTGAAAAGAGTCACTCCGATGTGTGGCTTTAGGTCCTCGGCAAGGGGGATGGACACGGAGTGCTGGTGGAGAGGAGGGCAGAGCCCAGATCACGCAGGGAGCCCTGGCCTGGAGGGCTGCTGTCTGGTGCATTTGACCCGGGGGGAGTCTCCAAGGGTGTGTCCTGTTGTTGGAATCACATCCAGGGACCTTCAGAATTCAGAAGGTATTAGTGGGTAGGGGACTGAAGAATGCCAGGCATTGGCCCTGGTCTGGGCCTGGCAAGTCACACCTGGCAGTGCCCCCGGCTCTCTACCTTGCAGGCTCCAAGCCAGACTGCGCCTCTGCGGTGGCCTTGGACGGACGAATCGTTACCTTTTCTGTGCCTTACTTTCTTCATCTGTGAAACGGGGAGAAGGAGTCTCTACCCCAAACATTTTGAGAGCTTAGGCTAGGAGTGGACAGAAAGCCGCGTTCCAGGGGCTGTTGCTGTTGTTGGACACAGCTGTCCGGACATTAGTGTGTACGGAAGCACCACATGCCCCAGAGTGCAGGAGCGCATCTCTGCCTGGAGCCCCCCTGCTGGGTTCACAGCCCGTCTTCCCTATCGGGCTAGCTTCTTGACCTGCCCACGCCTCAGCCTTCTGGTCCGTAAAATGGGATGTTGAAGGTTGTTGTAGGAGCAAAATGAGGTAGTTCATGCAGACGGGCCTATAGTAAGTGTGACGTGCGTATCTACGGCTGTTGCTAGTTTTATTAGTACGTTTTTCTGAGTGGACAGACTGAGCATCAGGCCCGCTTAGCTTCTAGTGTGTAGCCGGGTTTTTGGAGCTATACTGGGGGAGGAGGCTTACCTAAGGCTGACCTCCTGGGCCAAAGCCCTGGAGTCCCTGCCAGTGGCTGGGAAGCGAGACTATGACATGGCTGGAACCCCGAGCCCCTGTGGATGTCCCAGAGTCTGCCCCCTCTGCAGAGAGAGGGTTCCTTGCTCAGGTCCCTAAAGGGCAGAGGGTGTGGTTACCGCTGACACCAGGAGTGTGGGGCCAGAGGGCACAGGCCACAGAGTGGCAGGGGGCCCTGGCTCTCCCTGGCACATTCCAGGCTCCTGAGAGGGTGGCCAGGGGCCAGGGTGCCGGAGGGAAGGAGAGAGCCTTTTAAGGAAACATTTCTCTGCTTACAAAACTAAAAAAAAAAAAAAAGAGAGAGAGAGAGAGAAAGAGACAAGAAACACTGAAACACACAACAAAGTTAGTGGGCTGGCTGGCCGGCTGGCCTGGAATGCACAGCTGTGGGTGGCGGGTGGAGGAGATGCTGGGGGGCAGCAGACCACGAGGGGCACCGGGACGTCAGGCCCTCCAGCTGGGGATCCACCGCTCTGCTGCAGAGCTCAGTCCTTAGGGGTGGTGCTGCCTCAGGGGAAACAGGAAAGGGACCTGGGGTTGAGACACCTGGACCCTCCTTTCCACCACTGCCTAAAGGTGGTTCTGGGAGAGAGGCCCTCCCCCTGTTTCAGAGGACACTGTCCGTTCCGCCCCCACTTTAAATGGATCTGTAACCTCCCCCCGACTCCCTAAGTCCCCAGACCCAGAAGGGAGACTAGAAACCCCTCATGTAACGGCATGGGAGACAGTGGCTATGGACTGGACTTGCCCAGGTCTGGAGGCTGAGGCCGGAGCCCGCAGCGTCCCTCCTCCTGCAGGTTCCCAGCCCCTCCCGAGTCCCAGCGCCAGCGCCAGCTCCAGCTCCGAAGGAAGGAGCAGAGCAGAGCACTCTGCACTGGCTCCCACCCAGGGCCCAAGGGACCCCTACATGATAGAGTGGTGGGAGAGGGGACATTGGGAACCTGGCCCCATGAGGTTGAAACCTACAACCTGTGAATGGGGTTAGGGGCAGTAGGGCACGGGAAGAGGCCACTGTTGGATGCAGAACTCCTGCCCCTCAGGTGCCTGGGGGGGCAGTTGTGTCCCCCATGGCTGAGACCTTGTCTGGCCTGCCAGCCATAGCCACCTCTGGGACCTTTCCTTCCTTCCCAGGAAAGGGACCTGGGGTTGAGACACAGAAGACCCTCCTCTGTTCTCCTGGGATCCTCCACCCCGCCCTGGACTCTGTCTCCCCCAGAAACTTCTAAAACACTCACTGATGGCTCCATGCTTGTGTGTATCAAGAACCCTGAACTTGGGAGAGCACTTGGCCCCCTGTTTCCTCTTTCTCTTGAACACAGGGGAAGAGTTTCCCTTCATATTTCATTTTGGGACTCAGAATAAATCTTCATCGCTTATCAGCTCTGTGACCTTGGGTGAGTTGTGTAACCTCTCTGTGATCCCCTGCACCTTAGCCAAAGATGGACTAGTACCTACCTTATTGGATGTTTGAAAAGATCAAATGAGTTAATATGGGTCAAGCATTGGTAATAATGCCTGTCGCTCCTACAGTCTGTATCTAATGAGCATTAGCTATTGTTCCTTTCCTTTGGCCCCACATGTGAGTCTCTCAGTCTCGGGGTAACGGTGAGCACAGGGCGATAGACACGGAGACTCAGCTCAGGCTTCTTTGTTGGAGAATGAGTTGGGCAGGAAGCCTGTAGCTGGACTGGGTCGAGAACCCAGGGATGCTGAACTCCCAGCTTCTCCACCTCTTCCAGAGCTCAGGGCACACCATCACGTGAGCCTTGCCCCTTCTAGGCTGGTGTGTCAAGCCTGGGGACCCCTCGGGCTGGATGGAGGACGGGGGTCAGGCGGAGGGGGGCCCGGCTGGGGGTGCCTTCTTGTGGGGAGCCAGCTCTAGCCGAGTCTGAAGGCTGTCACCATCGCCGCTCCGCTGGGCTGGTGGCCGGAGCTGGGGTTGCCCACTGTTTGAAGAGGCAGCAGCCCCGTCTTCGGCGATCAGGGGCTTGTGCCCAGACCCAGTTATGCTTGCGGGAGAGCCTCCCCCCAGTCCCCTCTGTGGGCCCCTTGGGTTGGGAATTGGAGCCAAGATTAAGGTATGAGCTCCAAGAAAAACGTGTCCCAGCTAGAAAAAAAGAACACACTGAGTTTCTGATAAAGGGCCCTGCTAATTGTCAGGGTAGTGGTTTGGCTGCCTGGCCTGGATGGGGGGTGTTATCTCAGGGGAGGGGGCAGCAATGCAGCCCTCCCTCTCCCCTCCCTCTGTCTGGAGGCCCACGTGCCGGTCCCCACCCTCCATCCGAGAGGAAGATGAGGGTGGTATTAAGAATAAAATCTCGCTCATAAAGGGTGCTCTCACCCCTCAAGGCTTTCTTTGGAAGAACTGGCAGGGCCTTTCACCAACCTGCTTCCCTCAAGCTGTGGGGACCCCGGACTCTGCAGCTTTGGGTGAGATGCCTTGGCATTGGGGAGAACCTCCTTTCTTAGAGCTCTTAAACATGTTTTTAAAAAAATGTAAAACAAACCTTAGCATATTGTAGAACATTTAGAACATAGAGCAAAGAAAAAAAAAACCTTCTTCTTATGACCTGAACCCACTGCTACTAAAAATCCTGGTGCACTGACCTCCAGTGTTCTGCCTATTTTTCTACAGAATTTAAAAATTGTGTGATATCCGGGGCGTCTGGATGGCTCTGTCATTTTAAGCTTCCGACTTTTGGTTTCAGCACAGGTCATGATCTCAGGTCGTGAGATCGAGTCCCGCATCGGGCTCTGCACTTAGCGTGGAGTCTGCTTGAGAATCTCTCCCTCTCCTGCCCTTCCCCACCATGAGCGTGCGTATGCACGCTCGCTCTCGCTGAAATAAATAAATAAAATCTTGGAAAAAAAAATCACGATGTACATTTCATTTTTGCCTTCTGCCACTCCCTCTCTCCCCAGTGTGATTGCCTGAGGGATCTACCACGTGGCTGCAGCATCTCCTAGTGACCTCTCAAGCTGGAGATGGTCAGTGTGTTGAGCTGAGGGAAGGGGTGTCTGGCATGGAGGTAGGGCCATGGAATGGCCTCAGGAGGCCCTGGTTTGCTGTGTGGATGAAAGATGCTAACCTTGCCCTTTCTGTGTTCCTCCCACAGGTGGCTGCCCCCTGCATCCCTCCATCCAGCCATGAACTGGTGGTGAGTGACAGTCCCTTCCCTACCCTGCTGGGCTCTCTCCCCTCTTTCTTCAGCTCCTCTGTTACAGCTGAAGGGTAACAGCTACAGGGTTCTGGGCCATTAGGTAAGGAGGAGGAGGGGGACACTTCCCGAGACCGAAGCTGGACTGGGAGGAAATGAGTCATGAGGTCCCTTCTGACGAGATGCAGGCCCTCCTAGTTCAATTTGAGACCAAAGTCCTTGGAAAAACCCATAAAAGGGCATCTCGCATGCCTCTGGGCCCAGCCAGGTGCCTGTTGTTCTGGAGTTTCTGGGACCAGGGGACGGCACCTTCTTCTACCTGCCGGGTCTTGGGTCAGGTGCCCTTCAGCTGGAGGGAGGGGAGTGGATGGCCTGACCCACAGAGTTCCCCCGCCTGGGCAGTGGCTCGCATTCAGGTGGCCCGATCCACCTCCAAGCTCCTTGGCTGACTCTGCTTTTCTGTTCTGTCTCCGTGTCTCCCAGCCCAGCCTCCCCTGTCAGTCTTCCAGAAGAGTGTGGCCGGGGGCAGGTCTCCTATGAGTTGTGGGCTGTGGGGCGAGGGGCCCCTTCCAGACAGATCCCAGCTAGGCTGATCTGGAACACTGAGAGCTTCTCCTCCCAGAGCTTTCAGGCGCCCCTTCTCCCCAGCCCAGTGCTGGAGGTGGGCAGGGCCCTGAAGCCTGGAGCAGAGGGCTCTGCGTGACTCCAGGTGCATGTATGTGTGTTTGCATGTGTGTGTGGGGCACACAGGATGGAGGGCCCCTATGGACACAATCCTGTTTATTGATACAGAGGAGCCTCTGGTGACACCAGTGTGGGTGGGAGTTGGGGAGGGGGCCAGGGTGTCCTGGCACTTTCAGGTGTCTGTGCATCCACTCAGCCTGGATACTGTCAGGCCACCTGGTCTCTCCTTTCCCTCGGACACCCACTTACTCAGTGACAGTGGTCAAGCCCATCCTCTTTCTGGACCCCAGCTTCCCTTCCTGTCAAGGGGAGTGCTTGCTCCCGATGCTCCCAACGCCTTCTCGGTGCTGGAAGTGTCCCCTCCATGGAGGGTCATGGATGGGATGAAATAAGGTTTGTAGGGGACTCTACGCTCGGGGCTCAGACGCTCAGACACTTTGGGCCCACGGCCGCGTCCGTGTCCTCTGCAGCCCTGGCCGCCTTGGGCCCATGGCTGGGTGCCTGTCCTCTGCAGCTGGCTGGCCCGCGCCAAGCTATTTCCCTTCCTCTTGGAGGCCCCGCCTCCCTGGTCTCATGGGGCTCAGACCCTTCTGGGCCTCAGCTCTGCCCAGCAATGCCTCTCCAGATGTGGAGTGTTCTTCTCACAGAGCCTGGTTACAGGTCATCTGACAACAGTAGGGGGTAGGGGGGGTAGGGGGAGGCCGGTGCAAGGCCTGGTTTGCAACCACCAGCAAGAAGTTGCTCTGGGGTTGCAGAGGGTCACTGCAGCGGGTGGATGCGGAGGGGGTGGAGGAAGCAGGGAGCATAAGTCTCATCATTTCAACTCAACTGCCACCTCGCCCCTGAGAACAGAATGTCCTTGGCTTGTCCAAGGGTAGCTGGGGGGTCTGGGGCTTAGGGATCTGTAGGCAGAAGCCAGATTCCTGGCCACTCAGAGTCTGGGGAGCTTGTTTATGTGAGGAAGGGTCAGGGGTTGGAACAAAAGGGAAGAGGTTGGCATTCGGGCCAGAAGGATTGCAGATAGATACCAGAGAGATCTTCCTGTCCCTGTGTCCTGTCCCAGCTGTGAGGAGGGGGGCTCTGACCTTCCAGGAGGATGGGTCGGCCATGTGGTGATGGAGTGGTTGACGTACCAGACTGTGCTCCCTGAGGCTCCCCATCTAATCCAACCACCCCCCCCCCGCCCCGCCCCGGCATGGTCAAGAGTGAGGGGGTTAGACTCCTTCCCTTTGGATCCTGGCTTCTCAGTCTCTGCTCTGTGACCTTGGACACAATACTTAACCTCTCTGGACCTCAGTTTCCCCTCTACAGATTGGGACTTGATAATAGCCGCTGCCCTGTAAGGTTTTTAGGGAGAATAAAAGGAGCAAATGAGTGAATTTTTTTTTAGGATTTTATTTATTTGAGAGAGAGGGTGTGCACAGGAAAGCACACAACAAGTAGGGAGGAGGCGGCTCTGGAGAGGGAGAAAAAGGGCTCCCGCCGGGCAGGGAGCCTAACGTGGGACTCAATCCCAGGACTCCGGGATCATGATCTGAGCCGAAGGCAGACGCTTACCCTACTGAGCTGCCCAGGAGCCCCGTGAGTGTATTTGATTAATCTGTATTCAGGGCCCTCGAGGGGCTGCCCACCTGATTTGGGATAAAAGTCCAGCATCTTGCATTGGCATGTACAACCCTGCAGGACAGCTTTCCTCTCTGACATCTCCTTCCAGAAACTCTCTCCTTCATTCACTCTGCATTAGATACCTGGTTTTCTTGCTCCTGAACACAGCAGGCACGATCCTGCTCCTGGACTGTTGTCCCTCCTGTGCCTTCTGGCCGGGAGACTCTACCCCCGGGTTCCCCCTGAGGCTCTTTCCCTCCCTCAGGTGTTCACGCACGTGGGAGATTTCCCTTCCCCCAGCAACTCCGTCTCCCATCTCTGCTTTCCTCGTCCCTCCACGGTCTCACCACTGGGGACATGGTGCGTCTCTTCCAGGGCTCCCCTCCTCCCAGCACAGCAGCCTGTGTGGACAAGGGATTTGTATCTATCGTGTTCACTGCTGTATCCCCACCACCCGCAACGCAGTAGGTGTTCACTGACTCAGCGCACATTCACCGAGTGGCTGGAGGAAAGGCTTTAGCCGGACTCCCTGTGCGGGTTAGGGGCTCAGCAAGTAGGGCTGCTGTTCCCTGGCTTGCCTGTGGGCAGGGGTCTCTCTGTTCCTGGGGGAGGGTGCTGGGCTCCAGAAGGACGCTCTGCTGTCATCCCAGGGAGTGGGAAAGTGGCCCCGGGGCAACCAGGAGAAAGTTTGGCTTCTCCCAGAGAGCACTCAGCACCTGTTTCCTCAAGGCAGGCTAGGCAAGTGCTTTGAGCAGGTTCACAAGAGGGAGGAAAGGGCGGGTTGTATTTTTCCTTCCTTTTCCATTTGCTGCCTCCCCTTCAGCCCTGGCATAGCTGGTCTCTGGTCTCCCTGCCCCCTTCCCTCGTGCCTCGCAGCATGTGTGTCTGCTGTGGTTTCTCCAGTTCTCAGAGAGGGCACAGCTCTCCCTCTGGCCATCTCACCTGTCTCGCTTCGATCTTACCCCCCTGGGATCGGGAGCCCCTGTCCTGGGCACAGGATTTCTGCCCACTGTGGGCCTGCTGGATACATTCTCCAGCCTGTGCCAGACCAGCCAGGGCAAAGTGGCTTAATCTTCAACCCGTGTTTTCATCTTACTCAACAGATGTTGCCCAAGGCCTTGGGTAGAGGGTCCTAGGGTCACCTCCCTCCTGTGGGGTCCCCTCGTGGGGGCAGGATGGAGAGGGGAGAGGGCTTGTTTGCCACACTCCTGATCCTTAGAAATTGCTGAAGCAGCTTTTCTCCACTTCTGAAAAATAAAGAGTCAAAAGGAATTTCCCGAGGGTGATAGCCAAGTGGAGTGGCCGCCAAGGTCAGCCGGATGGTGGGCCCTCCTGCACACACAACCTGGCACCCAGGACACGTGCGCTGGGGACAGACGGGAGTGCAATGCCTCTCCTCACCCAGAGCAGCCCCTTAGCAGGTGCTCAGAATGAACTGAAGGTTGGGTGGGGAGTCTGTTGGGACAGGAGGGAAGAGATGAATGGGACAGTGGGAATGCCAGGCCGGATTCCCCCGTAATGGCCATCAGAGCAATGGGGAGATGGTCACCCTGTATGGAACTTTCTGCCGGACATTGTTCTGAAAGCTTTGCAAAAATAAACTCATTTATTCTTCATGACAACACAGCAAGAGAGATGCTGTGGGATTATCCCAGTGTTACAGATGAGGAACTGAGGGGGCCACAGAGCTATTCGAAGGGGGTGTGGGATTTTGACTCAGTAGTCCAGCACTGCCGTCCACCCGCTTGACCATCAATCATGGCAGACATCATTCACTTGCACGACACCTGTGGTTCTCAAAGCCCTTCCTGGGACATCAGGCCATGGGGACCCCACAGTGGATTTTGTGGAAGTCAGGGTGTGTTGTCAGAGCCACCTGGGTAGGCCAAGGAACAATGTGGGGCTCAGAAAGGCGAGGTGACCTGTTCATGGTCCCACGGGAGTTGGGAGGGGTGGGTAGTGGGGTGCTGGGTCAGGAAGAGGCTTTTAGATTCCTGGTTCTGCTTTCTCCCCAGAACCTCCTAGATGCTTGCTGCTGATGTAAATACTGATGACAGCCAGGTGGACTTTTCTGGGATTTCTTTTCCTTTCCTTTCCTTTCTCCCTCCCTCTCTCCCTCCATTTATTTAAAGTAGAGTTGACACACAATGTCATATCAGTTTCACGGATTGGGATTTTGTAACAGCGCCAACCACAAGTGCACCTAGCTAGCTCAGGGCCTGGGATTTAGAGGAACATCTGTCTCTTCATCTTTCTGTCTGTCTGTCCTGCCCACAAACATTTCCTGAGCAGCTGCCTTGTGGCCACTGCTGTTTCAATGCTGGGGCTACAAAGTTCCTTTCTGCCACAGTGCAGCTTCTAGAAGGTGGGTGGGGTTGGGGTTGGCATAGAGCCATAGGAATGAGAGGACTTTACACACCATTTGCTCTAGTCCTGCTCTGTTTCAGGTGAAAAGGAGGCGCTGAAAAATTCTTTTGACTTCAATTTTTTTTTATTGTGGTAAATACTAGAACATAGGATTAATTACCTTAACTGTTTTCAAGTGTACAGTCACGGTATTAAGTTCGTTCCTGCCCTTGTGCAAATGTCACCCATTCATCTCCAGAACTCTTGTCATCCTGTTCAACAAAAGTCTACCCATTTAGCAAGAACTCTGCCCTCCCCTTCCCCAGTCCCTGCTTACCACCTTTCTCTCTGTATTTCTCTGAATT